GATTTGGAGTTTTAAATAAATATTCCATTTCGTTAGGTCTTTGCTTTTTGGTTTACAGATGACGTTGTTATTGCAAAAATATAAAATTAATCTTGTATATAAAAATTAATGACTGTCTGTCCCTCCTATACCATCCGACCGAGAGCAATGCAATTTTTCATACTGATATTTCGAAGCATGGGAAAGGTTACTATCAACACTAGAACATTCTACTACGTACCGAGTGTGAAGAGGGAAAAACGAATGTTCTGATGGGGTTAATATTATACATTATTCCAATTCAAATTTCAGAAGAATCTTATTTTAGCTAACATATCCAATTAATAAAAATTTAATTTCACCGAAAGTTCATAGCACGTTTTTAATAACTATTTTTGGTTCTTTATGTCCGGTGAACACATGTAATATCAGCGTGAATAGTTTTCGTGGTTAATAGTGGTAACACCGAATTAGTATTTTGAAAGCTTTTTTCCTATATACTACTTTGAAAACTGTATAAATTCATTTTTATGTACATATACTATTTACTTCTTTAAAGTAAATATGAGAATTTTTGATATAGCAAATATACGACAATCGTCAATAAAAAATCTTAGCTTGTGAGAAGGAGTATTTGCCAAAACTATGTCATTTTAGGTAGCATCAGCACTGGGATCGTTGCAAGCCGTGTGTGGAAATCTTATAGACCAGCCATCATTAGGATTCGAAGCCGGGTCACCTCATTGGGAATTGAGCTCTCTCTTCCCGGAACCGAAAGGAAGTAAAATGAAGATAATGTGAAACGCCGCGAAATGAAGATACTCCAAAATAATGCTTGTCATATGGAGAAAAAAAGTAGTCCTGCTCAATGTTTTCAAAAACCTGATTAAAGACGTCAAACTCGAACTCCACCTCACCCCTTAAAATGAGACAACTCCAGAGTAGCGTCAAATTTGTTATTATTATTTGTGTTGTTATTGTTACAGTAATTTTTGGTTGGTTGGAAACTGGTTCTAATGCCACTTGCCACACGGGCAAGCCTGCTTGGTAAAACCGAGCAAATTCAAGGCAAAGTGTGTGATTCTTGTTTTTCAGTGGCGCCATCTGTGGTCAAGAATTCGACTTCGCTACATCAAACGTCACACCTGTTTACAAGTCGGACCCATTCATACATCCATTCATTCATCAACAGATCGTAATTTTGATCTGAATCAGAGAACAATCGATCTCCAATCCAGTACCCCCAGAGGTCTTGATTTGTTATGGGAACATGGAGGACTTTTGCGACTCGACAGATTTAACGTGCATCAGGCACTTTACTACACGTGGAGTCTTCGGCCGGCGGGGTTCGAACCAACGAACTCTCGGACATGGGCCCAGTGCCCTACCTACCAGGCTATCCCGCCCTACAATAATTTTTATTACCTATTGGCAAACTGGGTCTTGGTTTGGATTTGATGGCGTCCACACACTTTTCAACTGTGTTCAAGATTAATAGTAAACAGTGCGCATGCGTCGTCATTACAAGCGTTGCTATGGCGACAACTGCTTTTTTTCTTTTTCTTTTCACTAGCAGGCATATATATTCTTTTTTATATTCTTTTTATTATTAACGTATAATTACTGGCTTGATGGCGATTTTAATATAAATATGAATGCTGAAGAAGGAAAAGTATTTTGTGATGTCTTGAAACACATACATCGGCTGGATATGAAAATTAATCCAACGACAAATATCACTTAAGACAGTTTTTGCAGCCCATGATTTGAAATGTTGTGGCGTTTAACGAAGTCAATCCAGAATAAAAAAGCATTTGGCCAATTGGTAACCTGAGATCGTAATACGGTGATCACAAATATTTCGTTGTTTTTTTTTTCTTTTTTTTACTGTTTTTGTTGTTTATAATTTTTTTGTGAGACTAATTTGCTTAACTTCCTGAGAACATAAAAATCTTTGAAAAGAGAGAAAGAGAAAAACACAAGCTGGACATAAAAATATTATTATTTTATTATTATTATCATTACCGTTGATTCTATTCTTCTGTTTTTTATTGTTGTATATTTGTATGACTACAACAGTGTGTTTCCAATCAAAAAAGTTTTTGAATAATTTTAAGGACTATTAAAATTAACACAGGTTTTTATATTGTATATCATTTTTAGTTAACAAAGCTATTAGTTTACTTTCAATCATATTATTATCCATAAAACATTTTTTCAATTAAATTCGAGACTTCATATCTCTGTATAATAAATAATCACTTATTAATAGTACTTGATGGACTATTGAAATAAAATTACAAAAATTTAAAATAATCAACGCTGGTAAACATTCCCGAAATTGTTTAAATCCACTGTTTCAAGCATTAACAAATTATATAATCATACCTTTAAAATAATTTGTAAATAAATTGTCTTAAATGTTTAAGATGATTTTATTCACTTTTTAAATAATAGAAGATCTTAACACTTTAAAAAATAACTGATCTAAAACGTAATACAAATTAAAGTCTATATTTTACATCCTAAATAATTTGCCTCACTGATTTTACCTTTTAGGAATATTACTTCCTTTAAAAATATGAAAAATCATATCTTCAAATCCAAACTTTGGATCATTACGTAAAACTGCATTTGATGCAGCATTTTACTATCATCAAAAAAGTATTAGCCTCTTTAGTTTAAAATGATACGCGATTTTCTATCGAATCTTTCCAAACAAATAACCTATCAATTTAAAATATCCAAGGTATCGTGACTTTCAAACTCCACCTTTATAATAGATAACGGCTTATTGCTATAGTCCTTTAAAAATAAAATTACTGGTATAATAGAGATTTAAAATTATATTTCAACAAGGGCAATTCCTATAAAAAAACGTCTCAAATTCTTAAGTTGAATTTTAAAGAATAAAAAAATTTATCTCGGATATAAAAAGATTTAAAACAGAGTAAATCTTTTAAGAAGGAGTACCACTGAAATTAATTTAATGATAAAATATGACTTTCAGGAAAAGTTATAAAATCTAAATTTGCCTGCGGGTTTATTAAAAAATATAAGTCATAAAAAGTATGTAATGTTACATGCAATTCCTAAATTATTATTTATTGTGTTGATATTTTAACTATTGATACAGGTATCAAAATCTTCACTGTTTTTGGTTTTTAAACATTTTATTTACTTTGCTTATAACAGTTAAGTTAAGGTCTCTCTCTCTCCCTCTCTCTTCTCTCTCTTTCACACATACAAAGAAAATTACTGTTACAAATAACGCAAACAATCGTCTTGATTCTACAAACAAAATGCCTGAGTCTCAAACAACGTAAAGGGTTAAATTGGCAATAATTTTTGCGAACTTAATGTTAATTTAAGCTCAGTGGACATTAAATTTGAGAGAAAAATTTACGGGGCAGACCTGTATTTTTGGAGTAATGTTAGCTTTACGGGCATAAATTTAATTTTACGGATAACACCTTGAGCACTTTTTACCGATTACTTTTGGCAAAACTTTCATATAACAATCGGGCTCTATAAAGCAAGACTTAAAAAACTTTACAACCTTTGTTATACTCTTAGCAAAAGACTGGTAAACGGTAGTGATAAAAGGGTTCAATGACAAATTATGTTTTTTTTTAATTTTGTAACCTTTTAAGCAATGAACAATTTAGCTGCTTTGATTGGTGCAAGAACTCGGCGCGAATTCAAAATCAGTCCATATGTGTGCATTAAATGGCTTGGCAGAAAAAAATATGTACACCTATTGTTCTTTCTTAAATTTCATTTGGTCTAAACAAACTATTTAACAATCTGGACTTGCTATGTTAGTATACCATTTCCTTCAACCCATTAACCCGTTCACGACAACTATGGAGCTAAATCAGTCTTCTACCATTGGTGCTCCAGGTCACTTTCGGCCAACAGAAGCTGCAACACTTTCCCCTGTATCAGGATTTTGATTCTCTCGCCTTGCAAATGGTCACTTGAGGTGTCTCTTGTATGTTCAGGGACGGAGGACTTTTGGACTTAGCACTAAATGTAGGACTGCTCAGGCTTTGCCCGAGCATATTCTAAACAGTATCGACTTTAAGCTCGACGAGGTTTTTTCAAAACCTCATCTGTTTCTAGACTTTCTGGACATTTTTGGACTTATGTATTTGGTCTAATTGGGATGGACCTCTTGGTGATTAGAAACAACAACAGGACTGTGGTCACATACAAGTGATGACGCGATTCTCCCTTCGCGACCAATAGTATCATATATGAGACGAGCTTTTCAGATTACAGCAGCCGATAGTCATACTAACGTGATTTCCATGCGCAACGTTTTATTTCAATTTTTAAACATTAATTGGCGGTTGGCTTCCTTAATATTTGAGAATATTTTGCTTCACAGGTATTTACCTACAATGTCCGCTTTCAGTTCCACTTTTTTCATTTTTTTTTTAATCCGGGTAATTTACGCATGTAAACAACTGTCGTTTGGCTCTTTTCTTCTTAAATTAGAGGTCTTTTTATTTTCTTGTTGAATTTTAGAAATTTGTTGCTTTGCGTTTTTTCTTAGTTCCTCTCTTTGGGCGTCAAACTGAGACTGAAATTCAATTTCCATCATTTCTTTTAGTTTTCCCAGTCCTTTAGTGTTCATTTTTGTCCCAAAAAGCAATTCAAATGGAGTAGTGTCTATGCTTCTTTGATAGGTTGAATTTATCGCTTGTTTAACCTTATTTGTATGCTTGTACCATTCAGCTGGATTTTCTATGGATAATTTTGAAAGAATCGATATGATGGTTTGATTAATACGCTCTACTTGTCCGTTAGCTCTTGGTTAACCTGTTGCTATTAAATGATGTTTAATATTTTCTTTCGAGAAATAATCAGCAAATTCACTGGAGGTAAATGTTGTACCCCTATCTGAAATTATCTGGGAAGGACTTTCAAATACAGTTTTTTGGATTTCTAATTTGGCTATAGTTTTAGCTGACGTAGTGATTTTAGTAGTGACGTAGTTTTAGTGACGTAGCTTCGTGGGATAAATCCATACAAACTTGGTAAAAGCATCTATTATCGCTAACACATATTTATAATTTTTATGGGTGCTCTCCAAAGGTCCGAGATGATCAATATGAAAAGTTTTCAAAGGCATATCTTCTTTATGCAATGGATGTAATAGTCCTTCTTTCTTTCCTCTTTCATGATTCACCAGTATGCAATGAACACAATTTGCTATGATGTTTTCTATTTTCTGTCTAAGTTTGGGTATGAAATAATATTCTTCGATTTCTTTTTCCGAATATTTAATTCCAGAGTGTCCTTTCTCATGAGCTGTTCTTATAATTTCGATTTGCATATTTTCTGGCACAACCACCAATTCTTTGCCATCGACAAATTTATACAAAATTACGTTTCTATTGCAATAATCTTCATAATTCGAAATTTTAAGTAGTTCTTTTATAGTCTTAATTCCAGTATCTTTATCTTGGGCTGACCTGAGTCTTGGCAAAATATTATCGACGGTAACACAAAATACATTACTTGGAGATCAGCTAAGGGCGTCTACGTGAGCCATCTTATTTCCAGAACGATGCTCAATTATGTAGTTGAATTCTTGCAGAAAAAGTGCCCAACGAGTTACACGAGTCGACAAATCTTGTTTTGACATAGTCTTTTCAAAAGCAGCACAGTCAGTAATTATTTTGAATGGAATACCTAACAGATAGATGCGAAATTTCTTAAGGGCTTCTACGATAGCAAGAGCTTCAAGTTCGTAGCTGGAATACTTTTTTTCAGCAAAAGTCGTTTTTCTACTCATATAGTAAGTGGGGTGAAAATGTTTTTCATCAGGGGGTTTTTGCATTAAAATGGCAGCATATCCTTCTAAGCTGGCGTCTGTGTGTAACTCGGTTTCGTATTTAGGGTTATATATTGAAAGAACAGGATTTTGGGCTAACAAAGATTTTAATTGATTAAACGCTTTCTTTTCTTCAATGCTAAACTTAAACTTATGATCTTTTTTTAGCAGGTCACTCAGCGGTCTAGCTATTATAGAATAGTTCGGAATAAATTTTCTGAAGTATCCGGTCAATCCCAAAAAACTATGAATTTTTTTCAAATTTGTTGGCTCCGGAAAGTTAAGGAACTGCTTTGGTTTTCAAGGTAGATGGGAATATTTTTCCATCCTCTATCACATGACCTAAAAATTCAATGCGCTTCTTTAAGAAATGGGACTTCTTGAAATTAATATCAAGTCCATATTCTCTAGCAATATTCAAAACCCGATTAAGTCGTTCAATACATTCTTCAAGGGAGGAAGACAGAATAATTATGCCGTCTAAATATGGTAAAACTATACCCTCATTAATCAAAGTTCGGAAAATGGTGTTTATGTATCTTTGAAATACAGCGGGAGAGTTGCATAGTCCAAAAGGAACTTTAAGAAATTGATATTGTCCTTCATGTGTCACAAATGAAGTGTATTTTCTACTATCTTTATATACATCGACATGTAGGAATCCGTTCTTAAGATCAATTGTACTGAAATTTTTCGAGTCTTGTAGTCTATCTTAAATGTCTTCAATTAATGGGAGAGGAAATCTATCTTTGACAATTATCTTGTTTAATTTTCTATAATCTATGCAAATACGAGGAGATCCGTCTTTTTTCTTAACTATTACAACGNTATTGCCTTTCTCTGTTATATCTGACTGTCATAATTATTACTTTCGAAACATTTATAAAGTATTATTTTTGACTTAAACGGGACATTTAAATGGAAATTTACTGAACGATAATTATATTAAATCAGAAATATATTTGTTTTCATTATTTATAGATAAATAGGTAAGTTTATGTATGTTAAAGGATAAAAAATGATAAACAAAGCAACCAAAATTTTAACAGAATAAATAAATATCATTTAAAAACACTTTTTATTCTTTAAATTTAAATTTTTTAAATGGCTTTATTAATAATGCAATTGTGCTGCTTCTTGTCCACTGTAAAAAATTTCTCGAAACAATTTTTGAGTAACGGTTTATTTAAATGTTATTGCCGGCCAGGTGGCCGAGTGATTAGCGTGCCTGACTGCGAAGCCAATGGCTGCAGGTTCGAATCCCCTTCAGGGCATGGATGTTTCTCTCTCTCTCTCTGTTGTCTTCTGATGTCTGAATCTATGAATGTGGCCCACCCTATGAACAGGTATTTGTGGCAGTGTGGCGTAGGTAATGTTGCTCCCCTCCGTGACTTTGGTTCACAGGTGCCCACTGGGTAACGATAAATGAGCAACACTTCCGGAATCTTCTAAAGCGAAGAACGAAAGTTCAGTGCCTGCCGTTATTAAAAAAATATTTAATTAAAAAAAATTTATTGTTATTTCACCATATTTAAACAAAAGAGTCAAATAATCATAAATAAGATGGTAATCAAACTGCTAACTGTGAAAAAACTCGTTTATGAACAGATTTCACCTGATTTGGTTAAACATCCAGAATTTCATCTACTAATTATAAGTCTACCTAATGTAGCCACTTGGCACCTAGCACCTTCGTTCATATTATAGCCGCGAAGGCTAATCTGTCATTCTCGTGACAGATAGAAATAATGTTCGAATCCCAGCGTTGGCAACACAATGTTCCCTCTATTCCCTTCAACACACAATACTTTTCGCTGTCCTGAACACCCCAATTTATCTCCTGCACACCCCAGTTCAAATTACCTAACGAAATGCCTAGCTCCTACGTCCAGTTAAATTTATTTTTTCGGTTCTGAAACCATGACAGTTGTAAATGGTAAAAAAAAACTGTATAGTTTTGTATTCATGGTGCAGGCAGTAATAATAATTACCGGCGCTCAAGGTATAGGTGTACTTCCTTCCGTAAAATCCATTTACGGAAGGGTGTATAGTTTTCAGTAAAGTGTGTAAAGTAACTAAAGTGTGTAAAGTAAAGTGTGTAACTTCAGTAAAGTGTGTAAAGTCAGTAAAGTAACTAGTGTATAGTCATTGGGGTGTCCTGAACACCCCAATTTATCTCCTGCACACCCCAGTTCAAATTACCTAACGAAATGCCTAGCTCCTACGTCCAGTTAAATTTATTTTTTCGGTTCTGAAACCATGACAGTTGTAAATGGTAAAAAAAACTGTATATTTTTGTATTCATGGTGCAGGCAGTAGTAATAATTACCAGCGCTCAAGGTATAGGTGTACTTCCTTCCGTAAAATCCATTTTTACCAAAACATGGTAGAGGAAAAACTGATGTACCGTAATTTTTGCAGTAATAAAACCGTAAAATCTCTGAATCATGCTAATTAATAAAATATTGCTAAAAAACTACAACATAATATTTTATGGTAAAATAATATTTTGGATAATGCACCTAAAGTGAATATACCGTAATCTTTATACAGTATTTCGAATTGGGAATTTTTTACAGTGTACAAATGAAAGAAGGTGCTAATTTTGCACTTTTCTTCTAATTTTTCAATGTAAATACCAGTAAAACATTAAAAGTGTTATAATTGTTACTGGCAATGCTTAAAACTATGTAAAATAGTGTTATTTAACAATATATTAACAATAGTTGTTTACTTTAACTTTGCTGTAACTGAAAATCATAAACTAAAAGCTTTTTGTTCGTAATAAGGTAGCCTGAGTTGTAAAAAATCTTACTGGAGCTCACATTTTGATAAGTTTATAACATGCGCTCAATAAATTACCGGTTTCTGATTCATTAAAAACATATCAGATGTAATTAAATTTAGTATTAAATAATTATCTACTTCGTTCTTGCTTGATGGACACTATTCATTATAAATTGTTCTAATGAAGATTTTTGTGGTGTGTATTTTTTGTTTTAATCAACATTACCATCTTAAGAATCATGCTTAAATTAGCTTTAAACATTTCACTGACCTGTATTAAGGCAGTACAATATTAAAAAATGGTTACTGACTTAATCATAGCAACTCTCTAGCTCAATTGAAGCAAACAATTTTTTAATTTCCCTGTAACTGGAATTACTTTCTTTAACTAGGTTGCTAATTTAATAACTCAAAAAACTGCATTTTAAAAATAACTTACAATTTTTACAGTCATTTCGGTAACTTTTTTTTATGCATCGATTTCACAAGAATTCACAACTATTCAAAGTTATTTTTAACCAGAATAATTCCAAAAATGCCTTTTTACAGTTATAAATTAAAATGTATTTCATTTATTGTTTACTGACAATATTTGTCTAGACTTCAATGTCGAATTATATTTTAAAAACGAACTGAGCAGACAAAATTTAATTACGTTTTCTTATAAGATTTAATTGCTAGCGTGTTTTTAAAAATATATAATGCTTTAATGCATTTTTATTTCGTTTTACTATCTTAAAATTCGTTTAGTACAATCTAAATCTTCATTATTTTGATTATTGTAGAAAATATAAACAGCGCTAAAGAGAAACTGAAACAAAAAGGATTTAACCCGTATTCCTTAAATTACTCTAACTAGAATTTTTCTTAAAAAATACAGCATGCTAATTTAGCAGTCTTTATTTCAAGTTTTAGAAATTTTGTTTCTTAAAAGGTAAAATTAAATTATATACCTTTTAAAATACTACACTCTACATGTAATTAATTTTTTATTCGTTCTCAGAAAGGACATTAAAAGATTTTGGAAGCATGTCGTACAAATGAACAAAAAAGTTCATTTTAAAAGGAAATAATTAATAGTAATTATTACTTTTTACATCTATCTAAAAAAACTTAGTAAAAATTATAATTTAGTTCAGTTAAGTTCTAGTTAACTAAAATTAACTGTAAAATATTTATAAAATCAAAAATTATTTAAAAAAAACGTTTTAAGCATTTTTTTTTGTAAAATTAAAATTTTCTGATTAGTTTGATTTAAAGTTTCACTGGCCGATTTAAATTTTCGAATTAGAAAATTATTTTAAAAAAAATTTATTAAAATAAAAAAATAATTATAAAAAAATACGATATTTAATTTGTTGCTTTCACATGAATTAAAAAGTTAATTAAAAAATGCTAAGTTATATTCAATTCAACCATTTAACTGTTAAATAAATAATTCCACGAAACTGAAGCCGTAAGATATTACCTGAATAAAAACTTCATTCGCTTCAATATACAAATAGGAAATAACAGTGAAACAGCTCTTCAAAAATAGGCACCCATTTTAAAAACTTGTCCCATCATTAATGTGAAGAAACAAAAGTGATTTGAAGCAAAAAGCGTAAAGTTACCAGAGAAAAATGCAAAATAAACGGGAGAAACCAAGCTAGAAAAACCACAGTACCCGAAAGAGAAAAAAATATTGAAAACAAAATTAGAATATCCGTTTTTGCCGAGAGGGGCAAATAAGGGTAAAATGCATTTTCACGCACTATGGAGGGGTAGTGAGGATCTAATGTCGTTATCAAAGGAATTAGCATTCATTTGAATAAGACAATGTTACATGACGTCAAGATTAGCTGATGCGATTTAATTGGAAGAAATAAAATTAGAAATAGTAATTGAAATAAAAATTAGCTTGGTGGGCATGAATTCAATTTCGACAATGTACCCCAGTCATTTTAGCTCTTCTTGATGTCCTGGAATCTCGTTTCACTCATATGCACCGAAGAGCTTACATTATGACCACCCTCCATCTATAACAATGGGCTCGCCCAGGTTTTCGTGATTTCTCGCCCAGGAAGAATGTTTTCATGGGGCACATTAGGACCCATATTCCTCATAGAACAATCCCTGACGTCTGTAAGCTACTTAAACATAGTTGCAGACCAGGTTCACCCATTCATGGCAACAGTTTTTCCTGCAAGGGATGGTGTTTACCAACAGGATAATGCACCATGTTATAAGGGTCGAATTGTCATGGATTGGTTCGCGGAACATTTCAGTGACTTTCAAGTCATGTCTTGGCCCCCAAATTCACCTGACCTTAATCCAATAGAGCATTTGTGGTCCTACTTGGAAACAAGGGTCCAATGTGAGGGAATTGCCAGAACAGTTGGTGACCGCTTGGTACCAGATACCTAAGACTACCTATCAGCACCTTGTGGAATCAATGCCACGGCAGGTGCTAGCAATTTTGAGGGCTAAAGGTTGCCCTACATGTTATTA